TCTACCCCCCTCTTTCCCTCTATGTCTATCTGTCTGTCTCTGTCTCTCTGTCTGTCTCTCTCACATACACATAACAGTTTTACAGTAGCAAATTAAATAGAACTCACAGACATACGATGGAGTAAAAAGAAAGCAGATGTCTCCGGTTTAAGCAGAGGTCAAAAAATGGTTATGAAGGAACTTTCAAAAGTAAGGGAAATCTCAAAATGGTAGGTTTACTGATTTGGTTGATGGCTGTGTGGGTGTATATAGTTTTCAAAGCTCACTGAATTACATATTTAAGATATTTATATTTTGATGAATGCAAAATATAACTCAATTATTTGAAAGAAAATAAAATTGACCTACAGTGACTGTTTTGGAAGAGGGGGGAAAAGATAAATAGAAGCAAATTTCGTTTTTACAGGATCTCCCAGAGCCCTTAAAATGCTAATGCCCACAATGTATTTTCAAGAGGAGGCTATAAAGATGCATATGTTCCAGATTTATTTACTTGAAGAACTTTTTCTTCACATATTTTAACATCTGTAAAGCATTAATATTTTAGGAACCAAGTGACTAGAGAATAAAAAAAAAAATACAAAAAAGCTCAGCAAGGGTTTCCAGTGCTACTCCAGCATTTTGTCTTACTCCAGCTTTAAAACAACTTTAAGCCATTTTCAGTTGGTCTGTCCAAAATCAACTAGTTATAATAGGTACCCCGCACAGGAAGGCCCAATCATTTCAGAATTCTGCCTCCAACAATGAACAGATTGGAGCTATTTACCTTACATTCTTCTGACAACAATAAGGCAGCCCTGCCCATTGGTAACTGCAAGTTTTATGCTAAAGAAGCATTCCCTGATTTAAGCAACAATTCTCTTTCTGCTCTCTGTGGGACAGACTCATCCAGGTGGAAACACACACACACACACACACACACACAGGTTGGGAAAGTTAAATCTTTTGTTTTCATTAATTTATTTGCTTGTTCATTTTACATCCCAATCAACAACCCCACTCCCTCCTTTCCTCCCAGCCCCACCCTCCTACCAACTTCCCCAACACACCCCTACCCCTATCCATCGCTCACCCCCCACTTCCCACCCCCTACCCTCACCCCCACCCACCTCCACTCCCCCAACCCTCCTGACCTCCCCCCCCAGACATCCCCCTCCCACTAACCCACCCTGGCACATCAAGTCCTATCAGGACTAAGTGCCTCTTCCTTCACTGAGGCAAAACAAAGCAGCCCTGCTAGGGAACAGGGATCCAGAGGGAGGCAACAGAGTGCAAGTCAGACACAGCCCCCCAGCCCCCGCTCTAATTGTTAGGGGGCCCACTTGACGACCAGGAAAGTTAAATCTTAGGCTGAGTTCCCCCAGGAAGCCAAATCAGGCAGGTTTGTGTAGGAAGGTTTGCGGCAGAGGGATCAGCACCTGAAGGGGAGCCGGGATGGGGAGGGGCAGGGCTTATGACTCATACAACAAAGGCACATCCTGTAAGGAGCGCTTCTGAGGAGACCCCGAACAGCTAGCTATCCAGCTTTCAGGCAAAGAGGAGACTAGTGCTATCGCATAGGAACTGCACCCCCCCATACACCTGTGCCCCCGAAGGAGATAGATTGCCACATGTGAAGGGGCCTCTTTGGGGAGGGTAATTTTCATAGTTGAGAGCCATCCACTAATACTTCCAATGGTAGCAAAACTGAGCGCTACCGTCCAGCAGGGGGTGCTGGACAGCACAGTCCAGTGTCCACCACAACTGCCAAGCCAGCACACCGCGAGCTCAAAAGGACTATCTGCCTTAGAATCACAAGGGTGGAATATGATCAGAGCACATCATATTTATATATTTATATATTAAGACGTTGTAATAAAGTCCTGTTGTTATGTACAATATATAGGAATGCAAAAGCTCTTCCTATCCAATCTGACTCATATTCTATTATCAATAGTCAACAACCTAGATAGATCATGTCTATATTGCTTTGCCTAAAAAACTCTAAAAACTGCGTTTTTTTTAATTTATTTTATTTTTGCTCAGGCTGGCCTTGAACCTACTTCCCAAGCCCCAAAGTAGCTGAGATCACAGGCCTGTGCCACATCAAGCCTTCGAAGCACATTAGACATTGACTAATACTTTTGTGACTATAAAGAAAAAGTTATGCACCCAGTCATGAACAAGATACGCATATCCCTTGCCTTTAGGTGGCTTGAACTCAGTGTGGCGGCCATCCAAATGAAAGACCTCGCAGAGGCTGCTGGTGTCTTTGTCTCCACTGGGGAAGGATGGTTGACAGCAAGCTCTCTAAAAGGAAATTCAATAACAGCGAGAAGACTGAAAGCATGTGGGTTTGTAACATGGCAGGCGCATCTATAAATTTACTTAGCTCTGGGATTAACCCTCTGGAATAGATGTGTGACTCTTCCTACTCCTTCTCATCCAGGTGAGGAAACCAAGTGTGGAGATTAAAGAGCTTAATCGGAGTTGCAGTGGGAACAAGTGCCCAACCTGGGATTCTCAACTTGGAAGCTGCACCTTGGAAACCCACGAGGCACATATGGAAAGAGAGGCGGTGTGAGCATTCAGGTCTCCAGTCTCAAGGAACTACAAGCACAACCATGGAAAGAAAAGAAACGGGAAGGTTCAGGCTGCAGCCAAGGACGCTCATGGAAAAGCTGTGAGAGTCTAGAGCTGAAAGTAGGGGCCCCAGAGAATGAGCAGACTAAAAAGGAGCTGTGTTCCCCTCCAAGTGATAGGCAACGTGGCAAGAGGGTGATGATGATTTCCTCCTGCAGTCAATAATGATTTTAACAGGAGTAAAACGGCTAGTGTGAAATGTAGAGCATCCGGTCATGGGCTAAGTATTTGTGCACGTCAAGTGTGACGCCTGTCACCCAGCGAGGAGGGGGAATATCACCCTGGTTGACAAGGGAGGACGCTGGGCCCCAAGGCACCCGAGTTAGGTTGTATGAGTTACCGTGGCTCCCACGCCCACTCTGTCCAGCGCCGCCCCCACCGGAGCATGTGTTCCACGCAGAAGACCAGCCGCGGAAGATTCCATAATGATGGAATGAACCAAGAGGGTGTGTGGCACGGAGCCCTAAGAGAGAGGCTCTCGGGATGGACAGTGACAAGGTCACCTGAGTCACAGATGAAAGGACCTAGAAGGCAGCTGGACATTTGGCTCACTGTCGTGCAGATTTGGTGGGCAACACAGTGAAGGCTGGAGAGGCGTGGGAGGGGCTCAGTGGGGAGTGTAAAGCAGGAGAGAAAAACAGGGATGGACAACCCCTCCCCCCCCAGAAAGCCTCTCGTGGTCTGGAAATAATCCACTTTCTTATCTGCAGAAGTAATGAGTACATCTATCTTCCTTAAGAACCACTTGGGAGAGGGCCTCTTTGGCACGAGAGTCACCTTGTCATTAGTGTCACTTCGGGAAAAATAAAATAAAAACAGGACAAAACCCTTCATTTTCTAACATGAAATTTTCATTTACTTCTTGGTGACGTTTTTTTTTTTTTTTTCAGATGAAGAAAAATAAGCCAGTTAAGTGATGCCTACAACAACGTAACCATAGTGTATGTGCTTAAATACGTTTAACTGGCTAAAACTGGTTCTCACAGTTTATCAGGCATTGCCACAGACTTCCTGGCTCCTCCAAACTCAAGTTGCCAAGATCAGGCATTCTTCCTGGACCCATCACCACTGGCTTGGGTAGAAACGCTGTGTGCTCCCAGATGCCAGGACATGCCATTTTCCAGCTTTCTTTCTCTTCTCCCCTCACTCTTTCCCCCTCAGCCTAACACAGGACCTCCACGCAGCCCACCTGCCTTATTAAGAATTCGTCCACTAGGCTGTACCTCCACTCTCTCCTTAAAGCAGAAGTTCCCAGTTAACCTGTAGAGGAGAGAAGAATGGGGGCGGGGAGGGGGGACGCTCTTTGGTCCGCCCTTCCTGGCCGGGGCCACCTTGCAGGTTGTGACACAGTGACAGAGGGAGGCCTGGGGGAAGGCAGCAGCCAGCAGCTGCTCGTTCTCCGGGAAGGCTGGGAGCTTCTGGGTGCGGACAGCTCTTCCTACTTGCCCTGCGGCTCTTCTGTGTGACTTTGAGAGGGGCTCCCAGGTGACGGATTTTGCTCGCCGCGCACCCCGCTGAGGACAGCAGCACGCTCTGGGGGGTGGGGGAGGACCCCGGAGCTGAGCAACTGGCAGAGGCAGCCAGCACAGACCTCAACTGAACTGGGACTGGCGTGCAGTCTTTTGAAGTCAGCAGAAACGGAAATCAAATTTACTATCGTCTCCAGCGGCTGGAGGCTCCGAGAGAGGGGATTCCAGACCGGCTCGGTCAGCCCACGAGGCGCAGGATAGCGGACCCTGGCGACGGCGAGCGTAAGTTCTCCGGCTGCTGTCTTCTGCTGCTGTGGGATTCTCTCTCTCTCTGGTTGAAGTCACCCTTGGCCAGGATGCCGTCATTGCCGTGAGAATTCCTGGTGTGGAAAGTTCCCTGCTGCTCTCCGGGACGCGTTTTTTCTTTCGTTAACTAAGCCAGAAACACAAGCTGAAATTCCTAACGGCGCTGCGGCGGTCCTGGCTGAAGCTGAGAAGGGTTAACCCAAGCGTACCCGGCTGCGATGGTATTAACGCCGCATAGGATTTTTTAATTGGCCTCCTTAAAATAGAGGGTCCCCAGCCCTCCCTCCTTCTTTTTCCTCCCTCCCTCCCTCCCCACTTCGGATCGCATGATGTTTTAACTTTGTGATGGCTGAACTCGCGAAAGCAGCCCATCCACCCGGAGAATTAGCTGAAGCAGATTCCCACGGGTTCCAAAAACTTTCCTTCCTTGACCAGGAGCGCGTCTGTGACCCCAAATGTTCCAAACTGCCTTTTTTATGCCTTTGCTTCCGTGAGAACTGACAGCCCGGCCTCGGACTCTTCCCAGCGCTGTTGAAGGGAGGCATTAGCAAGAGGCATCACACCTCCCTAACTCTTACGATGGGAGAGGGAAAGGCAGCCAGAGGAGCCACACATGGTCTCCGCCTCAGCGCGTCCTAGCGCCGGGACGCGGAGATGAATGGTGAGCCGCGGCTGTGACTTGCTAGTCTCTCTCCACACTTCGTCCGCTACAACTTCCGGCTCAGACATGGAAATTCTCTGTGAAGACAACACTTCTCTGAGCTCCATTCCAAACTCCCTGATGCAATTAGGTGGTGACTCGAGGCTCTACCGCAACGACTTCAACTCCAGGGATGCTAACAGTTCCGATGCCTCCAACTGGACAATTGATGCCGAAAACAGAACCAACCTCTCCTGCGAAGGGTACCCCCCGCCCACATGCCTCTCCCTGCTTCATCTCCAGGAAAAAAACTGGTCGGCTTTATTGACAGCTGTCGTGATCATTCTAACCATCGCCGGAAACATACTGGTCATCATGGCAGTGTCCCTAGAGAAAAAGCTGCAGAATGCCACCAACTATTTCCTGATGTCACTGGCCATAGCTGATATGTTGCTGGGTTTCCTTGTCATGCCCGTGTCCATGTTAACCATCCTGTATGGTGAGTGGTGTTAGCATGTCAACTGTCCCCACCATAGTCCCAAAGAGCATGTGCATGCTGTTGGCTCGGGAGAGAAATAGACAGGAAGCTTTGTTTCAGTCTTAAATTTTTATTTTACTTTGGGAGGGGGGGAGGGAGGGGTCAGACAGCCTGATCACCTGGTGAGATGTGTGCTTTAAAACAGATAAATTTCGTAGAGAAATTACTATCCGCATTTCCAATACTCTGTGAGTGTAATTTAACTGTCATTCTGTGCCCATGTGATTTTTCTTGGTTTTATTTGCCAGCCTCCGGACAGAATAGTTTTATCTTTGTCACACAGTTCTCAGCACTTCTAATGGAGTGGTAAAAACCTTCCCAATTACCTTGGAACATTTGCAGAAAGAGCATTAGTGCTGGAGTGGGCTGAGTCTTAAAATATTCACAGTCTCCATTAGAATAAAGGAATTACTCTAGTTTTAATTGCTCCCTGCCAGCCCCCGGCCCAGACAAGCCAATATAGAAGAAAGCCTTTGAGTCTAAAGCCTCAACTCTTTAAAAATGTAGACACATAAACTCCTGTCTGGTTTTTGGAGGAGGGTAGACAACAAACTGAAAGCTGTCCGTCTTCCTTTCTTCTCAACCCGGTCTGACAGTGTCAAACTTCTCGGGAAGTCGGCAAACACTTGGACGGCTTTCATGGGGAAGCAGAATGTGATATCCTTTCAGACCATGAGTAATACAGCCAGACCCCTCCTAACAAAGAGCTGTGGCACATACATACTCAGCAGTCACCAGGGCTACGGGCAGTTTTAGGGATACCTTTAAAGGGAGGTTTTCTGGCCAAGTCCCTGAAGCCACGATAATGAACATGTCCACCTAGCCCCTGAAAGCTTCAAGGAGGGAGGAGACGAGCCAGGAATCGCAAGCATCCATTTGTGAAGACCAGCCTAGCTTGACCATTCAAATGGCACCTGAATAATTCCGTTTAATTTGCCTATCATGTCTCAGCCTCTTAGGAGGGGCTCTCACTTCCTAAAACCTTGGCCAGCCCGCGGAGGCAAACTCTACTGCGGGAGGGAGGGGTGACTCTGCAAGAACCCAAACCACAGCAGGAAGGTAGGCGGGGTGACCTGCTGGGCAGCAGGGGCAACCCTGGCCACGTAGGAAGTGCAGCAGGTCCCTGGTCTCCGCTCAGGGTACAAGGCTGCCCCCTAGCGACAACTCCTGGGTGTGCCGTCTGCATCCGCCCAGAGTCTGTTCACTACCAGGCTGGTCCTGCTCCTTTCTTAGCCTGCAAGTCACAAATCTGTCTTGCAGAAGTACTCTCTTCTTACCCCTTGAAGCAAAGTTTGAGGGGAGAAGGGCCTGCTTTCTTTCAGAGAAGACACCGCCCCCCTCCCCGAAACCAACATCAGTTCCCAACAGCAGAGCCGGTTACTGCTAAGAGAGGAAAAGCCTTTCAGTACAAGCTATTGGGTGAGAAGGCTTGGAATTAGGCTTAGGTCCAGCATCGTTTCCTGTTCTGAATATGCCTGGGGACAGCACGGTAGAGACACGACTTGTGCCTAAGGAGGGCTTGCTCGACTTGGGCTCTGCACTATCCTAAAGAAAGTACTGATCTCTCTAATTTTCCTTCCCGTTCGCGGGCCGATGTAACATCCTTGCTCATTCTGTGAGCAGAACTAATTAACAGTTTACCCAAGAGTTTGATCCTCTCCAAAACACACAGGGAAGAGTAGGACATTTCATTTATGTCATCAAGGCATCCTCCGTCTTCCTAAGACAGCAGAGAACCTGCCAAGCTCCTGGTATTGGACTCTGGGAAGTTTTAAAATCCTTTGATATTGGGGGCTCACCTCTAGCCACCCTTCAGAGAGAATGATTTAACTGGCCCAAAGCCCAAAGCTCCACCGGCTGATTGTGATGATGTCGTGTGGGGGGGGGGGTCATGGAGGTAGAGGGGAGGGGAGGAGGGGGATATCTTTGCCCTGGGAGACAGCCCACTGCCCGCTGCAGCAGGATGATCTCCAAGTTTGTTTGTTTGTTTGTTTGTTTGTTTTGTTTTGTTTGTTTGAAAAATGCACGTTTTCCAGCCTGCCCCAGGCTTACTGGATCAGAATCACCAGAGGTGGGTCCCTAGTTTAAGGAGCCAGCTTCAAAGAGCCACTGTCACCTATAGTCTGAGCACTGCCCTGAGACAAAGTTCCAAGGCCAGACACCCTTGATTTCCTCCACCATCCTCAATCTTCTCACATCTGAGTTTAAGAAAACATTGGGGGACTGTGTATCATAAGTAAAGACATTCAAGAGGTCGATCTGAAGCCATTAAGTCACTCTATCATTAAACGCCTAGCTGTGTGAGACCGGACACGTCTTAGAATGACTAAGATCAGACTAACCATAGGGGCCTTAACTCCAGAGAAAGTCATGTAGGTAATTGCTGTATGTGACTGGTACAAGTCCCTCTTTTGCTAATATAACTCCACAGGCCAGAGACATTCAAACATGCACTTATTGGTGCCACCGCAGTGTACACTTGCTGTTTGTTCCAACGTTGAAGGTCTCTTGTAGTTTCCCGGGGTATAGACCACATACTTCAGGAAGCATGGAGCTGCTTGCTGACGCTAAAACTTCTCCACCACAGGGTACCGGTGGCCTTTGCCTAGCAAGCTCTGTGCTGTCTGGATTTACCTGGACGTGCTCTTCTCTACGGCCTCCATCATGCACCTCTGTGCCATCTCGCTGGACCGCTACGTCGCCATCCAGAACCCCATTCACCACAGCCGCTTCAACTCCAGAACCAAAGCCTTCCTGAAAATCATTGCTGTGTGGACCATATCTGTAGGTAAGCCGGACCCTCTGACAGGGCTGCGTTTGAAACTAGAGTCTGTCCTTTCTCGGGAGACATGCTGTTCGCTTGCCCTGGAACCTGGCATTTTGAATCTGCCGTATCGTGTGCTGCATGATTATGTCTCGACCTCCTGATTGTTGGAGATGTTTCAGGAAAGGAACATCTGTGGATGTCAGTGGCTGACGGTGTCTGTTTGTATTGTCTTGCACATGTAAGAAAAAGTACACTAGCAGAGCCTGAGTCAAGAATGACTGTGTTCTTGCTCAGATCCAAGTTCAGTACTCCAAGTCTTGGGTCTCCCAGAAACCTGAGTTTTGTTATTATTGAACTTGTGGTTACAGAAGAAGACAGATGCTTCCCCTAGAGAGTGTAGACATTGAAGAGGGTGTCCAGAAAACGGCAGAGGCTGAGGACAGGGGGAAGTAGCAAGAATTGCTTAAGAGCTGGGCATTTCAGCTGATTGGTACCTCGGTGGCCTTTCTTCCTGCTCTGACACCCACACCAAAGGATTCCAAGGCACTTCAGTTAGGCCGATTACACACACCCACCTCTCACTCTAATCGATCTTCTGTCACCATAATAGGATCTAAAGGGGCAGCTCTCAGGCAGAAAAGTCAATTGTACCTGTCACCTCAGAAGACGTGGTTTGCAAGTCCCAAAGCTTTTCAGATGGAAATGCTGTGTTTGCTGAAGCTCACTGGGTATGGTATCCACTCCTCAGGAGAGACTGCAAGGTTTGATGGTAGGTTAGAATTCCAGAACTCATTTGATATGGCTCACCACTACCAACAGGGCTGGAGAAGAGATGGCACTTGCTGCTCTTGAGAAGGAGCTGTTCTGATTTCCAGTACCTACCATGGGGTCTCACAACCCAGTTTTAAGAGATTCATTACCCTCTTCTGGCCTCTGAGGGGACCAGAAACACACATGGTATGAACATACAGGCAGGCAAAACACCCATACACATCAAATAAAAGCAATTTTCTAGATACCTATCAGAAACAGCAAGCACTGTCTGTGCTCCGTGACACTGTCTCCATTTTGCAGATGAGGAAACTAGTGTTCTAAGAAAGAAATGAGTGAGTGTGTGCTGCGAGCCTGGGCACAGGGAGCGCCCCCTGGCTCTGAGGATAACAATGATGAGTTACCCATTACACAGCATCTCTGCATGCTTTGAAAACACCTCCTCTGTTTTATCCATCTTGAGCCTTTTCACTTGAGGTCAGCAGCGCCGACAATGTGTTTGATAAGTTGTTGAACCTCAGGACACAGGTCTGACACACCAGCACTCTAGTCTTCTGACATCAAGCCCTTCTCTTTCTGCTGAGTGTACCACACCTTCCTTAGCTGACAGCTTCTGCCCCAAGAAAATGCTGATGGCTTTAATCCGTGCAACCAAGGAGTCCTGTTCCCTTTGGAACAGGAAGGTAAAGGGACCAACAGTTATGCATCCAAACTACTTGAAACTACTTTAGAGAATCCTTAGGTTTAGATGGCTGAGGGTTCCTAAGAGACATCCATGGTTGAGGACCACTAGCCAGATTATCAGAGAATTAAACATGATGAACAAAGGGTCAGGTGAAATTTGTGCAGCCATGTACACTACCTTCAGCTGCACAGACTGTCCCCTTAACTAAGCAGAAACTGAAATGACGCATGACTTTTGTCTTGGTGTGTATGTGTGTTTTCATGTATGGGGGTTCACGTGCATGCACATTCAATGTGGCAGCCAAAGGCTGATGTCAAGTATCTTCTTCAGTTTATCTACACTTTATGAGGCAGGGTCTCTTGCTTGAACCCAAAGCTTGCCAAGCTCATTTGCTCCAGGGACCCTGTCTCTTCCTCCTGGGAGCTAGGGTTACAGGCAGCTCATCTAAGTTTTACATGAATGCCGAGTATCTTACTCTGGTCCCCACATTGTATGGCAAGGGCTTGTACCCCCTGAGCCATCTCTCCAGTCCTACAGTCCATTATCTTTTACCCTTAGCCAAAACCACCCCCTGTCTCTGTCAAGCTTCATGACACCATTAGCAAAAGTTAGCGACTCTGAGCATTGCCACAGACCCTGTCGTGTCCAAGTCACCTTGTAGATAAGTCTGTCACACAGGATGGCAGCATTCAGAGCCAAGAGTCAACTCAGGCCAACCCAGTTCTAAAGTCTGTACTTTATCTACTACCTAATAAGGCTGTCTGCTCTAGCTCTGTCTGGCTGTCATCCCAGGAGGGAGACAGGTTGGAATGGTTGTCGTGATGCTAACCAATGGTCATCATTAAAAAAGGATGGTTCGGAAATTATCTCTCTGTTCTGTGGATATTCAGATGAACACACAGAGAAGAATAGTGTGTGTTCAAATGTCTCTCCCAGTGTGGGAGAAGACAGGTAAATGTAAGAAAACTAGAGGTCACACAATCTTGTAACTATCTGTGATAGGGAGTTCTGAGGAGCAATCAGGCAAGAAAAGCTAAAACTAAAAAGTCAGTGCTACGCTGGATCCTGAAGAAGCTCAGCACAGACTTCTTCCTGGCTTTTCTTCGCTTGTTTCTGTTTCTACTCATTTGTTTAGGCTTGAGGTTTTGGTTTGCTCTGTATGTGGCTTTATACTTGGATTCTTATTCTAACCGGATTTTTTTTTCCTATTTGTTGTTGTTGTCCTTGCTTTTAATCATATATAGTCAACAAATGAAACAGATTTCAAGATGTACACTGTGGTGAGTGGATGTGCAAATATTTTGTAAAATAAATACTATAATCAAATTAGTTAATTCTTCCATCCTCTTACCAAGATGCTTTTTATTTTACAGTCAGAACATAAAGAAAATTACAAGAGTAAGACTCAGAGTTAGCAAATGCAGACACCACACCTTATACTAGATCCCCTGAACCAACCCATCTCCCCTTTCTCCCATCTGTCTCTGATAATGGAACTGCTCTTGCCAAAGAGAAAATATCCTACAGATGTGGTTCTACCCTTGCTCCCAGTTAACAGAGTATTTAATCAATGAAACCCAGCAAATCAAAATTTCCCAAAGTCCCATGCTGAAGGAAGGGAAAGACTGAAGCCTTGGTACCAGGCAGAGAAAAAACTTGCATCTCCCCAAGAGAGCTCGCACTGTAGTCCAGACCAAAGCTGAACAATGATGCTCAGTGCCAAGTGAACCATGCTTTGGCTAAGTCTATTTAATGATACATTTTACCCTCTCTTGAAACCTAAAGCTCATGTCAGGATCCCAAAGATGGATATGGGGAGTCACTGTGTATCTTTGTCCTTCACAAGGTGTCCATACTGAGTAAATTCCCTTCCTCTGCATCTCTGAGTAGTTCTCTTTATTTGGCATATCACTTGTCAGGAGCTGCCAGAGCCCAGAATTTTACCCTAAAATCCCTGCTCACAGTAAATGTCATCCCACTGTTCCTATAAATTCAACTTTTCTTAGACTCTGTGTATGAGTGAGATCATTTATCCTTACTATGCTTTCAAGACTTATCCAAACTGTTGGACACTGGCAGATTTCTTTTCTATGGCTGCATGGTACAGAATTCTATTTGTATATAAAATGCTTTGCTTTCAGTAACAGTTAAAGATTTTACAGAATCTATTGTAGAACTTTTCTTCAACTTACTGATATATTCTGTTTTTTCTTGATAACTGCTGAAAACAGAGCCAAACTTATGTTTGTGTGATTTCTTTTCCTAGCTTCCTTGAATGAACTTCAGAGGTTGCCAGCTTTCCTCTGAAGTCTTTCCATGAGTAAGGAGTATGTATTTTTAAAGGCTTGTATAGAACTCAGCCCTGGCTCTCTGGTGTGTGTGTGTGTGTGTGTGTGTGTGTGTGTGTGTGTGTGTGTGTG